AGGGTAATCAAGCTTCGAAACATAAACCGAACCAAACTGTGCAACGTACGCGTTTGGTGTTAGAAAATTGATGAACAATGTAAATTTACGTTACGATAATGTTAGGAAAATTCAAAGGAGAGGAATTTCCCCATTCCGAGGATACCGATATCCCAACCGATATTGCCGTTTTGAATTTAAAACTTCAATTTCCGATACGCTTGCATTTGCCCATGACCAAACAAATCACAAGGGCCCAATCCTTTAAAAACGGTTTGTGGTTTTAAATCTAGAAACATTCATGTTTTTCCCAATGGTCAAATTTATACGTGCATGTTCACGGGTCGCGAAGACCATCTGCGTTGCTTTGTTTTTTGCGCGTGATAATAAAACAAAAAAATGTACGTGGTATCACAACAGGTAATTTAAATGAAGAGCAACCATGTACTAAAATAACAGAAATAAATTATGAATTGATTAATGAGGTATTTAATAGGTATTTAATTTTTTTGTATTTTTTCCAATTAAAAAAACTGCTTATTTATTGCCATTAAGGCGGAACAAAGTTCGCTGAGTCAGCTAGTACTACATAAAGACTCTCGTGTCATTGACGTCTTTTCACCACAGATACTATTTACCATTATTTTTTGATAAAAGAAAAAGTGTATGCAGAAAAAGTGTTTGTAAAAAAATTTTATTCATCGCAATTTATATTTCACATTTAATAAATAATACAACGTAATTTTTATTCTACGTATCTAGTTTCGCCGCAAATGATAGTTTAAGAGGCTGCAAATCCAAAATTTATTTGCAGGAAATTTGGGACTGCAGGAGCTTTGAAGCATTCATATGAACACTTTCGCTAGAATGAATTTATGACATGTCCATTAGATAAAACTTCATTAAATAAAATGTCTTCATTAGGAAAACTTTTAATTTACTCTCAAAACACATTTAATATCTGTCTAGTACGAGAAAATGAAATACAAATGCATGTGTGGTCTCTTCAGGTAAAGTTTCTGAATCATATTTGATACAAAATCGAAATGACCTGCATAATTTGCCATTTGGGTAAGATACTAATGTAACGTAAGGTATTTCTCTTATTACGCACAATCGAAGCAACGCAAACATAATGGTAAAAAACTGCCGTATGGAATGGCAGAATGCCGAATGGAATCCCTTTAAGCACCCGGACATTCATTTATCGGTATCAGTTTCTTTAATGAAAACAACATTGTAGTGTGAAAGTATTAATTTTACTATTTTAAAAATATCATACTAATTTCGTCGAATTATTAAATTCTGTTTCTGTACCATGAGAAACAGTTTTAATAAAATAGAATTAAATACTTTGTTATTTATTCAAACATTTAAACAGGTGCTTATAATTGCCTTGAAATTCTGTATTCGAAATATATCTTCATATTTTTCTGTATAAAAACCTGAAATCAATTCTACTTCTGCTGTCACGAAATAACGAAATACAACTCCCACACACTTGATAAAATTTTCTACCGATCAATTCCTAGAGCACGAAAACTTCACACTAAAATCAATGACAGTTTTGGTGAAGAGGATATTAATTATACGTCAAAACCAAATGATGGGTGAGAAATGTTAAGGCTAAACACTATTTAAACAGAGGACATGGCGATTATCTTCTTATAATAAAGCAATAGCTTTTTTGAAAACTTTATCTTTCATTCTTTTTTTATGAATAGTACGAAGTAAATTTGTGTAGAAGAAATACTCATCAACATTGAGCATCACAGTCAATCTTCCGCCAATCAGGTAAAAAAATACTATTTATTACATTATTTTTTAAACATTTGTCGTAATTATCACTTCAGTTCTAGAAGAGAAATGGGAAAGAATGACTCATTTCGTTATTGTATGCTCAGAGTTATTCTTACAAAGCAAGGCGCATTTGTTTTTTCATTTTTGTCAGTCACCATTTCAATAAGACGTTACATTAGTGAAATACATAGTATCTCTCAAATGTAAGAAAATATCATAACACATAATATGCCTAGTGTTCAGACAAATTATTTTAGTTTACAGGAATTAAACCGTTTGTCACCTTTTGTCACTCTTTGAGAATGTCTTCTATCCAAACTGGGAAGAGCCTGGTTTTTATATTCCGCCTAAACTTGACTGCGATCAATTCCACTCAGTCTTCGAGGAAGATGCCTCCCTACCTTCCAAACAATCTATTTTCAGTTCATTTTCAACCACAGGCTCAAAATGTTCCTTATTTTGAAGTTTTTCACTCAACTAGCTGAAAAGAACATTTGCTCTTCTTTCTTTCCGTATACTTGGATCTTGCTTCTTACAGGACAAAATTCCGTCAATCTTCTTCTGAGGCGTCTCAAACTTTTCTCCCTTAAAAGAGTTATATTCTGCTGTCTCTACAACCCTTATGAAAGCCACGCGTGATATGTGTGCATTCGACTCTTTTCGTCTTCTTTCTACCTACTCATCAATCTACTATTATCTAATACATTGGGAGCTTGTTTCAATTTTTGTTATTTCGGAAAATTCTCATGCAGGTTGGAGATTTCATGTTACTTTGGAGATACATTTTTTTATGTAACCAAATAGTTTTGTTACCTTCTTCGTCAGAAGACACACTTCCTTACAAAAGCTTTCTTAGTTGCTTATGCTGATGCATATGTATTTGATCTTTGTTTACTGACTTTTATTATAAAATTGACTTTTTCAATTTCATCAATTTCATTAATTTTAATTAGGGTATACTTGCGTGAGAATTACACGTGGATCTCATGAAGAGCGTTGATGCTCGTATGCTCCACGAGCGTTACAGGCGTCATCGTGATATACGGTGCTGACAGTCACAGCCTCGACGACGATCAGTTGCCAAGTTTTCTTTTCTCTTCGTAGTTTTTCTCAACATTTCTGGCGGTTAAGAATGATAATAAACAAAGAGCTTAATTCTAGCTTTTAACGACAAGTTGTGATCTGCCATGAGCTATTCTGTTTACTTGCACCATTTATCGATGTGCGAATGGACGGGAGGGGCTCGCCGGCCCCCCCCCCTCCGCCTTTTCATTTATAATTTCTACGCACCCGGGATTTTTCTCTGGGAGTAGCTAGAGGTATAGAGTTTAACAGACTTGATGTTTTCTTAAAAAAATTGTTCATTTTATACTGAATTTAAAATGTATTTTTTATGGTTTACTTAACATTTGTCTTGAACAATTGATTTCTTTTGTTATTTAAGGTCGCATTAACATCTAAGTCACTAGCGAGCTCTATTGCATTTAACGGTATGGTAGATGGCATGATATGGTGATTGTAGGTGGTTAAAGAACGAACACAAATACAACCACGCCCGAACCGGGACTCGTACCCACGAGCCTTCGGTCTGAGATCTTTACGGCACCATTGCCTTAACGATCTCGGCCAATGGAAGCAGCTTAAACAAATTATATATTGAAGGACTTTCGTTATTACGGAAAGCTGTACTTTTCGTTGGTACCTTTGGCTTCTAGGTGGGGTGCAGTATAATGACCCCGTTACAAAATCAAGAAAATTGGAAAGGAAAATTGGGGTGGAGAAATATGGGAATGTTTGTTTTCCTGTGCATCTATTCCCTTTCAAGGTACAGCCCGAGGTCACATGAGTATTTATTATTTAGCATCTCTTTCGTTAGAAAACAATTTGAGTTCGGTAATTACACCGAACTTTTTGTATGCTCATTTGTTTTGAGTAAGAATTAATTTTTCGGCTTTATCCCCTCCCCCGTTCTCGGTTGCCATATATTAGTGTCTGAGGAACCTGCGCCAACTGTGACAACCACTGCTCACCTGGGGACATTTGCTTCCTCCAAACATCATGACTATGTAGACCCTCGCCCCATCTCGTTTCTGTAGCATTTCATTCACCGAAGTGATAGTCCGTGGCCTCGTCTCTGTGTATGTGTCATTGTCATTAAATAACTTTATGATAAATGGGGAATAGAAATGTATTGATTTTTCACACAATTATTTAGTTTCATTTCCTGATTTCTGTTTCAGAAATTGTGTTTAAAAAATCACGTCCAATTTTCCATTTTTCGGTAACATAATAGTTTATAGGGCATGCGTCATTGAGAATATGAAAGAACAGAAAAACGTATTAAATATAACATTTTTAGAAAACAAGCGAGCTGATTTTGAAAATATGTCGCTAGGGCGATTTTAAAAAATTGCAGTTTTGTTGATTAATACAACAAAAAAATGTGATTTCATTTTTATTGAAAATGTGATCAAATTTATGAAAATGAACTGAAGAATATATTGTCTCAAATACATTTTATTATAAAAATGTCTAGAGTTTAAGTATTAATGTAATAAAAGACATTTAAAAGTAATGTCAAATTGAAGTAAAAGTTTTATTCCAAATGGCCTGATGTCAGTTCTTCAGTGCATCATTAATTACGCGTATTAAAAGCTGAAGAAAAAATAGCTCTTTTTCAGAAAATCTTGTTTAAGTACTTATTACAAAATTGCCTCATTTTCACTCAAAATTCCCCGAAAATTCTAGTATTTACAAAAAAAAGATTCAATTAAGACAATATTTTAAAGTAAAGATTTTATAGTCATTTTTCCGATTTTTTCAGATTTCATAGTCAGGAAAAGAACATAAGTCTTCAATAAGGTAGTTGAAGCAGGGGCTTCTAAACTTTGAAAACTTCTTCTATTTTCTGTAATTTAGAGTTTCCAATTATAATTGTGTATACACTATATTTTTAAGCATACTCTTCTGAATTTGAAGGAAAATGGAGCCATTATTGAGACAATTTTGAGTTAGCTGTTGAGAAATTAAAGTTCTTTCAAACTCTCAGAGCTCTAACTGCTTGAATGAATAATTAATTATAATTAATAAATATTCACTTCGGACAAAAATCTCTGCGTGGTTAAATCGACTGTGTTGGCAATAAACGGGCTTAAACAGACGGACACACAGGTGGATAGACGAAAACATTTCTTCCGGTTTCCAGAAAAAAACAATATGCATTCTGATTACTCTTTTATTGCTGTATATAGGAAGAAACATATTTTTTGAGGTCTTTGGGGCCCAAAAACTGAGCTCTTCTTACAGAAAAAATATAATTTTTTGCAGCATTACAATATTTTTTTACACTACATAGTAGGTTGCGAGGAACAAAAATATTAAAAAAAAGTTTGTCATGCCAGTACTGATTGTTCACTTGGTTTTCAAATTTTCCCGCGTTCCCCCTTGAGTAAGTTCCCGCTTTGCACTTTAATGCTGCATTGTTGAGTTTCCTTTGTCACGTGATTTTCAGGTTCCACCCTTGACTTCCCAGAGAAAACACGTCCTCTCAGAGATGAGTGGGGATGCGACATCGCCACAAAAACATAATGTTCAAAATGAATCAATCTGGCTAATGATACATCGCCAATAACAATGTTTTTTAACATCGATGTTTTTGTTTTGCTTAGTAAGTTGAAAAGTTCACGAAAGAGGCATTTAATTTGACAGTGGTCATGCTCATTAATGTGTAATTGATAAAGTCAACAAATATTTAGAACAATTAACAAAACTTCTACCATCCGATGTGATAAATAAAAAAATATACTATATTTATTGACAAAAACTCGTCTAACTTATTTCTCTACCTTGCTCTCTTCATTCAAAAAAATTCAATATATAAATATTTGAAAACTGTTATATTATTTTTGGAATGAAAGTAGGATTTCTTTAAAACATTAAACATCGACCACGAAAAACGTCGAGCACAAAACAACATTGTCATAAAAATAGATGTTCATTACATCGTCGTTTTTATGAAAACGTATTCATATAAACATCGATGCTCTGAAAACATCGTCATTGATATCGCTTCCCTACCGCAGAGCTAAGCTCCAGACAAACGAGGTCTGCGTTTGTGTTGGTACATCAACGTGGAGTTTCTGTAGATAACATTCAATTTTTCTTAATTTCTTTTCTGTAAGTCTTCAAGTAGAAATTGGTAAACATGTAGATGAAGTATATAGCTTGTACTAGTGTTAGAAGAGTAATGAAGAGACCATAGTTGCACGACTTAACAAAGAATACTGCAAGGTTGTGGATGAAGACGATGACAAACTGGATCTGAAACAAAACACGATTTATAGACTCCTGTTCAGTCAACACTAGTTTTCCGATACAATCAAATCTGCAAAGTCGGAATGAAAAATGTACCACCAACTTTTCTTTTGACCGTTGTCAAAAAATATTTTTTTCACAAATATTTACTTCTTTAATTATTGGTCAATTTCTGAAAATTCTAGGTGGTATTTATGTACTTTTCATTACCAATGTACAATGCATTACCAATGTACTAACTTGTGATTAATTGTTGGTCGGCTCTCAAAAAAGTAAGTTCCCACAACTAACTAAAAGAGTAACTAGTGATGCTACAGAACGGCACAGACTTTCCCGTACTAGTTGTAACAGTAAAACCTCGTACTAAAGAGATTTTTCTTTGAAAAATTTGGAGCTTTCTTTAAAATAATGGCGCTTAAGCGTCACTAGAAATTCGAAATGTGCAGCTGTTTTTTACAGAATTTTCTTGAGCTTTCGAAAAACTTTATTAGAAGCACATTATCTCACAAATACAATAGTGTTTAAAAATTCCTGGAAATGTGCATATTAAGGGTGTGATAGATCTTTCAAAATAATTAATTTGTGTAATTTTCGAAAGAAAAAAAATACTCTGAAATGAATAATACGTCATTTTAAAGAGAGTAATTAGTACTATACGTTCGAAAAGTTTGAAGAAAAACTTTAGAACCGTTTTTGATGAAATGGCATTTGAGCGTTTCTGAAATTGCGGAAATCAGAGCTACTTTTCACAGAAAATTGTTGAGATTTCGAGAAACTTTATCTGACATTATTTAATGCATATGTATTCTTAAATACAAGAACGTGAACTAATTGGCGGTAATACAAATATTAACGACGTGAAAGACAAGAAAAGATAATCACACTTTTATAAGTTTTGAAAAAAGACAAAAGAAGAGAACAATATGGCGTTTATGTCATCTTGTACAGGGCTTTAAGCATTATTCCTACCAAGTACTTAAAGAAAAGATTTAGAGACTTTTTTGAGAAAATCTTGTTTTTGTAATTTTTTAAAATTGCACATATTATTCGCAATGTTGCGCAAAATCTATTAACATTTTCAAAAACATTTACATATCCTTAATGAAAGAATTAATTATGCACATCATGTTTCAATTGAAGAAAAAATCTTTAATGTTGTAGTAGTGAAAAGACCTCGAACAAATTTCAAATTTTTTAAATTTTCGAAAATTCAGAGCTCACCGTTGACGTACGTCATCTTCATAAGTGTATTTACTCTATTCTTACAAGAACTGTAAAGAAAATAAATGGAGCCGTTTTTTGAGAAAATTTTGGATAGGGGTTTCATGTAAAGCACCCCCAAATTTTAAAGAATATTTTTTTTAATCTCAAAGCTACGACTTGATCCAGATGGACAGGGTTATCTTCAATTTGGAAAAAAATCCTAACCATGGTTTAGGGCGTTAGTAGTGTTCACAGACGGACTGTCGGACGTTTTGAAAAGAACCACTATTTCGGTGTCAGGGGGCACCAAAACGTGAATTTCCGTTGAAATCTCGAAAACGATTTTCCTCAGCATAACATAACTCTCCCTACTCTTCGTATATTACCCCGTATATACGTACGTATACGGGAAAGTACAGGTACAACATACGTACTTTCTTGGAATATTTGTAACGATTACGTATTATTATACCCCTTGAACACCCAACATTGTTTTCCCTATGCTCGAATTCGATTTCAACAATTTGGATTTTGCAGTCGTTTCCGATTCACAAACGCCTTAATGTTTATACAAATTATGTGAAGTTGTTTTGGCGGAGGAGGGGCAGAGGTGGTGATGGGAGAAGAAGAGATAATGATTGTGAAGGTGGTGGTGATGGAGATGGTGCTAGTGGTGATGTAAATGATTATTCGTTTACATAATTTTATGCACAGACTGTTTTATATAGTATTGTACGCGTGTATTAATTATATTTGTCATTTCATTTGCACCAGAAGAAATAAAAAGGTAACATCTTACTATTTGCATCTGGGTTAGATATTTCTTCCACCATACAGTATACCCCAGAAGAGCCAATTGGTAGTATGAGTACATCATAACATGAATTAGTCCATTGACAATTCCTGTAGTCGTTGTATTGCCGCCTGCAAATATAATAAAAATAATTAAATTGGTGTGATTAAGAAATCAAGAACAGTTTTAATCGTCATCAGAGTGCAGCAACAATTACATTTTAATACTAAATTTTGAATTCACGATCTGAAAAATATAAAGTTTCCAATTTACTGTACAAGATAGCAAACCTAAAATACAATCAATATTATTCTGCCTTTGACCGACCACACGTGTTTCAGAGACAAACTAGTAGTGTTGCAGAACAGCACAGACTTTCTCGTATTTGTTTTCTATTTCCTTTGTTCTCAGCTATTCGCACTTGCCACATACAGCTGCCTTCTATCGCCGCCGAAGTACATTTTTTAAAACAATTTTCTTAAATTTTCGGATTCCTAATTGTAGAACGGAACATTTTAAGAATATTAAAGGACAGCAAAACCTCGTACTAAATGGCAATTTTGGCAAATGAAAAAATGTGCATGACCTTAATGAACAAACTAATTATGCACAACAATTTTCATTGAAGGAAAAATCTATCTTAAATTTTGTATTCGGATGAAGACGCCGACAAATTTTTGAATTTTTCGAAAATTCATAGTTAACCGTGAAAATTGGATCTATGAAGTCTTCATAATTGAATTTTACTCCATTCTCTGAAGAAATTGAAAGAAAAAAATTGGAGCCGTATTTGTGAAAATTTTCGGAGGGCTTTATATAAGAACCCCCAAATTTTATACTCTGTTTCTCAAAATATCAAAGCTTCAACCCGAGCAAGATGGGCAGAAATTTCTTAAAGTTGGAAAAAATCCTACGCATGGTTTAGGCGCTAGTAGCGGACAGGCGGACAAACGGATAGACTCACGTTTTGAAAAAAAGAACACCTTTTCGGTATCAGGGGACCCCACAACGTGTATTTCCGTTGAAATATTGAAATCGATTTTTCGTTACATAACACAACTTTCCCTATACTACGTGTACGGGAAAGTGAAATACTAGTATCAGGAAAGGAAACAGCATTAGAATTGAAAAGGTTACTTCGAAATGCACCACCACCCCTAGCGGTCGGAGTGGTGGGCGGAATAGGGGTGGAGTGGCAATTGGAATGACCAGTGGAATAGTGGGTGAGGGGCGGGTGATGTGGAAGGCGCAGCGGTGGGGTGGCATGGCGGAAGGAGTGGAGGTGAAATAGCGGTCGGTGTGTGGTGGTCGGAGTGGCGAGCGGTGTGGCGGGGGGCGTGTGGGATCCGGGAATGGGAGTTGGGATGCATTGTAAAGGGTAGGTGCCGGGGGGAGTGGCGGATAGTGTGGCTGGCAGAGTGGTGAGAGGAGTAGAGGACAGAGTGGCGGGTAAAGTAAGGGCTGAGTGGCGGAAGGAGGGGCTGGCAGAGAGATAGATGGAGTGGTGGGTGCAGTGGGAGGCTGAGTGGCGGAAGGAGGGGCGGGCGGAGAGGTGGGGACGGAGTGGCGGGAGCAGTGGGAGGCTGAGTGGCAGAATGAAGGGCGGACGGAGAGGTGGATGGAGAGGCTGGTGGAGTGGAACGCGGAGTGGTGGGCAGAGAGGCATGGCAATAAAGAAAAGTCAGAATATTTCGGCTGTTTCCGGAACCATTTGCTTACCTGGATGGTATTTTGCTCCTAACCAAACTCCAAAACACATGAAAGCATGATGGTACACATGTAAGAACGAAATATGATCGAACTTCTTCCGTAAAACAAAAAATACAGTATCCAAGAGGTCAAACAATTTGTTGTAAAAATAAAGTTTATAACCATGAAACAGCTGAAATCAGAAGCAATAAAATATGAGATCAATTATAAAAATAGTGAAACAGAGATATTTAATTAAAGTGCTTTAATAAGTCACTATGAAAAGACAAAATATAATATTAAGAAATAAATCGATCTATATATTTCTTGTACTTAAATTATTTCCTTAAATATTTTAATTAAATTAGCGACAACATGCGGAAGGTGATTCTAGTACATCTTATTACAGGGAGACGTGTATATTATTTAAGGGTAATTTTTAAATAAATTATATTGTAATTACGCACACTTACCATCATTGAAAACGCATCATCTTCAGAACAATTGAGTGGAAGACACCATGCGTTAAAATCTTCCATAAATTGAGCATGATATGCCTACATAACAAAACAACTTATTATTTAAATCGATTTATTATCAATAGAATGAGCAATGATGTATATATGGGCGCATTCCGGGACCTAAAATTTGTAAAGGAAGCTCTACATTTAAATGTTATTAATTTAATATTAAAATAGTGAAAGATTAATAATTAATTCATTACTAGTTTATTTACCCAATTAATGCAATAGAAATAGATATACGTTTGTAATAAAATTTAATACAGTAAAATCCCGGTTATCCGAACTAATTCGGGGTGGTCTGTTTGGATTCGGAAAAGTTCACATTATCAGAAATAATGTTCCGTACATTTAAAAATACATCAATAGGTTGCCAGGCAATGCAACTTAGCGTAAGATGTGAGAAAATGGCAACGTAGTCTAGCGATCGCAGCATCACATCATCACATCGCATCACCAAGCAGAGTCAGTTCCTTACGGTAAAAGAACATTACCGATCTTGTAAGTTCCAGTAAGTGAAAATTTCTGCTACATAAACATGTGATATACGCCGTAATTACCAGTGCAATAAAAGTTTTATTACGATAACTTGTGTTTCAATAATTTGTTATTCAGTTTTAAAATCTTTCCTTTGCTACAATAACGAATTTTAGTTATTTTGTGTATTTTTCGTCAACTCGAATTTTGTTAGGATAATCCAAAATTGTGGATATGCGGAGTTCGAATTAACGAGTTTCTAGTGTAATTATAATTGACTTAATAACAATAATAAGGACAATAACAACGGAGAACTGGCTATATATGAATGTAATAATAATAATAATAATAATAATAATAATAATAATAATAATAATAATAATAATAATAATTGTAAATAAAAATTATATTTTATAATATTAAATTAGTTTTACAATTACCTTTATAGCATTCGTAGAAATGATACAATCAAATGTAAAATTACTTTAGTTTACGAATGTTTCCAAGTGTTTGCCCTCTTCTATTGATTTACTTGTTTTCCTATTTCGGTCCCGAGGTATTGAAATTCCATTTCGTCACAAACACACACATACTCTCTCTCTCTCTCTCTCTCTCTCTCTCTCTCTCTCTCTCTCTCTCTCTCTCTCTCACACACACACATACACACACACTGGAACTTATGTAGGCCACGAAAGGGGAAGATCCCTTTAAGAACATATTTTAAAGGGAACATTGCACTATTAAACAATACTCGCCGGCGCTGCTGCGACTGCTTTGTGTGTAAAACACTGTTCGGTCATTCCACGTCAAATCATACAAATTTATGGAAAATTTGGCCTTGATGTCACATACTTTTAAGCTTTTTTCTGTGAAGAATATAAGGAATAATGTGAAACAGGTGTTTTTCTTTTTTCTTAAATATTATTTTTCAAGAGGTGTTAGTGTGCGTGTGTGTAGGGGGTGAGAATTACACAGGGATGTGATAGGAAAGTTTACGCGCGGTGTATTGCCCCTGATAAACCACGCAAAACTTCCGATAAGAGCAACCGGTCGCTAGAATTCTTCGCCAGTCAGCGACGGAATTCGAAGTAGCTGATAAGCTAGTGTTGAAAATGTTGCCACTCGAACCTAGAACCTCCCGGTCAGAGGGACTGCAGAGACATCAGTTGATGCTCCGAGCCATCTCTTCGGGTATTTAAAAAAATGGCTCCAAATGTCCAATGGCAAAATGGCATAAAATATATCAATTTGATTAAACATTTTGATGTTCGAAGTAAAAATCAGTATTTTTGTGAATTATTTATAAACAAACTGATTTTTTTTCATATTTGATCTCTAAAATCATAAAGAAATCGTAAGTACAAAAAAAATGGACCCCAAATTGTAGATTTTTTGTTTTGTAGACAGCTACCTTAAATTAGCTTGTGATTTTTATATTTATACTTTTTTCCCTTTCAATGAAAACTACAATGAGAACTCTTTACACGTGAATTACTTTCAAGTATCTTAAAGGAAAAATCACACCCTCTTAAGAAAAGTATCATTGTATACAAATGCATACCATAGGGATATCAAACTGAATTTTGTATTTTGTCATTTTCCATTTTACATCGATAAGCAACAAAAATTAATTGAATATCATCTTCTTATAAATGCACATAATCAAAATAACTATTATTCAAAATATTATTGTTCAATTTCACATATAAAAGGTGACGAAGTTGACACATTTACAAGAAGTACACTCTAAAAGCTGTTCTGAATGATTATACCTTTTGGATAATTACTATTGTATAACAAATGAAACAAAAATTCAGATTATGAGAACAGAAAATAAATATAATATTTCATTGCATTCCTAATCTTGTGGGTTTTAAAGAGCAGGAAAGTCATCAGTTGAAGTTTGAGTTCATAGACTGTCATTATGTTTGGTCTCACGCTACTTTGTCTGGTTTTGTACTTCCATTACATCACGTGTGTGTAATGGTTCATTTCCAGATTGTTCAATATATTCAATGTTTTAGGTAATTGAAACTTTTTGTTGGGACACTGGTTTTCTTTATATTCTGCATATTTTTACATGTCAAATTGTTAGCAGAAAAATAAATCGTTCATGTAGTGTCATCATGAAAAATAGTGGTTGATTGTGATAAATGCATGATATCATCAGGATCTAGATAGATTTGAAGCTCATTATATAATGTGAAAAGCCAATGTCAGGGATTCCAGCTTTAATGAAGGTTATATTAGAAGCGACATTAATATTTCTTTTGGTAAGTTTTTGTAAGATAACCTCTTGAGGAATTACTGGGCACACATTTCATATAATGACTTATTTGTATTTATTAATATAAGCGTTGGTCCCCTTGACATCTTACGGACTATATGAAAATAGCGGAGGAAGATTTCATCCGTTGTGATTAATGTTGTTTACCTGTTGATTCTTTGGCTTTGTTAAAATTGATAGATAAAATGGATCAACCTAATGAATTGCCAGCCGTAAGGGAGTCTACTTTTAATAGCTGTTAACTTTTCTGATTCAGTTGACGCACCAACTTACACTTTAATATAATAAACACTTACTCGCGTAACAATTGCTAACACCTTGTTTCGTTCACCACCGATGTGTGTTGCTTACACCACGATTACAGCGAGGCTGTCTTTTAGAATTTTTGTTTATAGCAAATTGGAAAGATTCAATGTAAACATAAATGTTATCAGGTAGATTTATAACATAACGATTATCATTTTAGTAAGTGACTGAGACTTTATGAAATGGACATAATGAGCAATCACTCAAGAAGTTTATTAAAAAGTGTTGCAATAAATTGTTAATTTTCGGCCTTTAATATTAATTAGTTTGAATTTATTTTGTCAAAACGAGTGTAATTGAATGTAACATAGTTCCTGATTTATACTAAATAACGAGTTCGTTTTATATATTCATTTAACAATATCTTACCTCCAAATTTGGTATTTCTTAAACGTGATAACCATCCAAAACAGTACATTTATATAGACATTTGACGTTATACTTACTATTCGGAACACATAAAAAAATAAGTTCAGATTCCATATTATCTGCACAGTATTATACACTTTAATTAGCCATTCAATTTTGAATGCCTCTCTATTCTTCATAAATTTAGGTCCGCACACTTTCACGAAGTAAATGTAATTGCAGATAATAAACAGCACTGGCCAAGGCGTCTCGACTAGAAAATAGTTTTTCCATCGGGGATCTGAAACAGACGTCTATACTCAAAAAAACATTTACGGAAATTTAGCAATGTATGCTCTACTAATGAAATTTATTTTAAGCTAAAATAGGGGCAGCTATTTTTATTGTGTAATGGATACTGTGAAATTTTGTCTGTATTCTATCACTTTTTATCGCAATGCTAATCGTTTCTCTGCTCTTTCTCTTTTGTATACTATATTCTTCCTTCTCATTCCTTTGTATTCCGAGGGGTCCCTTTTACTTATGCGTATTAGTCCAGTGCTCAAAAGCGTTCGATCCAGGAAAAAATTCCGGAAGTTTTTTCTCAACGGTTCTATAAGTCTGTGAGGACATTGGATTCGAATTTGAATTTTGAAATTGGCTTCACAGAGAAAATAGCAAAAAAATGTCGCCCTCGTTTTAGTTTTTCGCTTGCATATTTTAAACTATGCGTTTTATCGAAACAATTGTTACTGACAAAATTAACGTAGTCAAAATTTCCTGCAAAATACATTCATTAACTTAAAATTTTTGAGAAACGATTTAGGCGCTAGAGCGCGCTATAACTGCTTCTTTTTGAGCCTCTATCCAAAATGGGAGAACAGCTCTTTCTATCTCACGGCTGTAGTTTCACTGTATCATGCTGGAAAACTGCTAGTGTCAGATTGTCAGGGATAGCTGAATGTAGTTGAGATGTTTCAGCCTCTTCTTGAGTTCTTTTCACGTAAGCAGAAATACATTTTTCCTTTCTGGTTGCCTTCTACACTTACCGTGGACTTCAGTTTGTGAGTTGCGTTTAAATTTTAAAAAAATACCATCCTCTCGTCTCTCTTGTTTCAACAAAATATTCCAATCCCATTCCCTCCACAAAAACTGTTTGCTTTCCATCTTTCAACGTTTCATTATAAATATGCTTTTCTCTGCAAGGAATTATGCACAAGTAGTAAAACTGCAAATATTACAGGTTCGTAATATTTTACAATGAGTTCGTGATCTGACAAACTACTGTAACATAGACTGCCAATCTCGATCCAGCGCGTAAGACTGGGTTATCACTGAAGAGCTAATCATACGCCGGTGAGTAGTGTAGGGTGGTATTTCAGGTATGCCACGAGCCGGCACATGGTGTTAAGTCCAGGTAGGTATTAAATCCCGGGGGGGGGGGTCCCCTAATTCCATCATCTACCTCCGAAGATATATATGAAGGGAAAATTAAAAAAAAACATAAGTTTTTCAAATTGTCACGATTATCATTAAATCGTTATCATAATGACTACTTTAAGTAACCTCAGCAGTTCATTTTTGCATTACGAAAACTGCGTTGGGTTTTGCATACATATATTTCACAATCGCAGGGGCCGAATATGCTGCGAAAACGAACTTAGTGCTTGAGAGTGCAGCGGGTTGCGTAAAGCCTCTGATTGGTGGGCTTTTAAATCCGCATAAACGCAGGCACGCGTACATTCCCACTATAATTTGCATATTTTCTTTGCGTTTTTCTAAGCAATAATTTAACAAAGTTTTATCGCAATCTGATGAACGAATGACTACGCATAAAATATGAACAAACATTGATTTTTATATATTAGATCATGTTGCAAATAGTCTTTCTTTCACTTCAGATGACACTTAAAAAACTCGTATACAAACGAAGTGGGATTTTTTATAATTCAAATATTAAAATGAAAATATATTTCTGCTAGTAAATTCAGGCTATTAAGGTATTCAGTTTATTAACCTGCACAATAGAAGTCTGATACGGATCTTAGTCGTATATAAAATTAGAAGTATATTATACCTACCAGCGGCATATAAATTGCCCAATTTTCTTCATACATTTGCGATATATTACGTGTCTAATGGTAAAATTGATATAATATTTGAATATGATACATGAATTTGGCGGCGAACACTTTATTTTAATTAAAAAATATTAGCCATTTTTAGCAAAAAAGTCATTTGAGCGTTTCTGAAAATTTCACAAGTAGCATAAATATAAGAACAATTTTGATCTAATTTTTACAAAAATATTTCCAGTCTTCGAGAAACTTCTTAAGAATACTAATGACGCACTTGTTCTCACAAATGCATTCTATATCTTTATACATAAATTGGATGTTGGTACATACAAAAGCGTAAACTACGACAGCGTGTGACCGATCTTCATGAAAGTTGGCACATCTACATGTTTTTCACCCAGAATGGAGAGAGGCCGAGGCAGAGACAGATTGAGAGAGACAGAGTCACTGACCGAGACAGGAACAGAGAGAGAGAGAATCGGAGAGAGTGAAAGAGAGAGAGAATCGGAGAGAGTGAAAGAGAGAATCGGAGAGAGTGAAAGAGAGAGAATCGGAGAGAGTGAAAGAGAGAGAATCGGAGAGAGTGAAAGAGAGAGAGAATCGGAGAGAGTGAAAGAGAGAGAGAATCGGAGAGAGTGAAAGAGAGAGAGAGAATCGGAGAGAGTGAATCGGAGAGAGTGAAAGAGAGAGAGAATCGGAGAGAGTGAAAGAGAGAGAGAGAGAATCGGAGAGAGTGAAAGAGAGAGAGAGAATCGGAGAGAGTGAAAGAGAGAGGGAATCGGAGAGAGTGAAAGAGAGAGGGAATCGGAGAGAGAAACAGAGAGATGGAGAATGAAAGGAAGATGGAGGGAAGGAGAAAGAGGGAGATAAAACGCAGGGCATTGTCTGGTGGGTTCCGCTATTACTATAAGAAAATAAACGTTGATATGTACCAGAACAGTGAACTCCAATACCGTGCCCAATCTACAAGAAAGTTGGCACATGTACGTGTTTTTTCACCTTGATGGTTTTATTGCTGCTCATTTTGTTGTAACTACTAAAAGTAGCTGCCTCACAGAATGAAGCTTCAGATAGTGCAATTCCTAAACCACATGGAAACCCAGATTCATTGTTGTTGTGCATTGTTGCTTGCGAGAGGAGAGGGCGAGGAGAGGAGAGAGTAAGAAAGAAAAACTAGTGGTGTTACAGCTGCATGTAGTTTCTCGCGATATTGTGCTGGCTACGTAATATTGTAATATGACAATTTCTGTCTTTCACTTGAACCATTTGAAAAATTCTAAAAAAAACGAAGCGTGAGAAATACGTATATTTTTTACTTCAAATGCTTAAACGAAAAGAGCTTTCTACCATTGACTTCAGTGTATTCACGTTCTATATAACGTACCAACGATGCATTATGTATGCAACAATGCGGCGCATTTTAGCCATAACTATTCGTTTATATTAACGAAAGGACGCCGTCATTATTGCCATCATTTATCAGTGCGGCGTTACAACAATGGTTTGCAAAAGCGTCAATGACCGCTAATTTCTACGGGATACACATTTTTCAAATTGACATTCTTGACACCGCTACCAACAAAATGAAAATGAATAGAAAAATATAATATTAAATATATTTTTAAATTCGTCAAAATTAGTTGTTTTTTAGAAGCATTACTCATTTCCACACATTATCAAGCAAAGCAAAATCTATCCACTTTCACATTTAACTCAACTAAAGGATGCAATAGGTTTTAAATAATTTCTGAAAGATTAATTTGCAATCGTGTAACACAATCTCGAATTTAAGAAACAAACAACAAAGTCAAATAATATACCAATTCTAGATTTATGGGAACTTTTTGCTTTGAGTAGACATATACTTTAAGAAGTTTTCAAATGGTAGTTGAAGTGTAAAGCAGAAATTGTTGTATTATAATATTACATAGCCATCGACAATATTGCGAAAATGTACGTGCTGTTGTAGCACTGCTAGTTTAAAATAATATTTCTTCTTCAAAATTATATTTTAATTAACGCTATACAAACTTTTTAATGTAGAGATTGTGCATTATTTTGAATGAAATCGTGACAATATAAGAAACGGAATGTTCGCAAAATGTATTCATTTAAGACAAAAAAATGCTAATTTGAGCAAAGTTCACATATAACTGATTTTAATTAAAACCTCTAAAATGTCTAACAATGCCAAAGTTTAACATTTTTCAGCATCCTTTTAAAAATTACATTGTTGATGACTTTTTTGCTTTGTTCGCTCGTACGAAGGTTTTTCATAAGAAGGGAAAGTTGTGTGATCATGCACCGGGAAACGGCGAATGTCCGGCAGAAAAACTCGTATTGCCGGGTCCTGGTAAAAAACGCGAATAAATCATGTTGTTGTAGGTAGTAAATTAGTTCCTTTAACATAGCGTATAGCCATAGTCCATATTTTTGTGGGTTGCGATACCCATAAATCGTTTGACGGCAAAATGTCTGTCTGTCTGTTTGTTTGTCTATTTGTCTGCCTGCCTGCCTGCCTGTTGTTAACGCCAGCGCCTAAACAGTTCAGCCGATTTTCTCTAAAACTGATTTTCCCCGATTGATCTAAATTAACACGAGGCTTTGAGTGTTTCGAAAGATATTTTGATTTTCGAGGGTACTTTACATGGAACAACAAAATCATTCTTAAAATTTTCTCAAAACTGGCCCACAATGTTTTGATAAAAATTTGTTTAAAATGTAAGAGAATGAAAGTATAAGAATAACTATTTTTCCTGAGTTAATTGCAGCATTCACTTTAATACAATTACTTCACTCGCTGACCAATGTTTAACCCTAGTACCCTAGTACTGCTCTTCATTAATTGAAACACGTATTTTTTCCTTTTACTCAGTGGCCAAGTGGCAGTTATCTAGTGGTAAAATTGTCATAATTATTTTCCCAAAGAGGAATTGAATACCTTGGTTTATAGAAACTGTATCTACGATATTTGAAATAATTATAAAAGTGCAGTGTTTGAAGAACTATCCCGCAAAAAAGTATAAATGCGTTTGTCTACTTACCAGCCAAATCGTACATTACATATCTGTAGAGGGATAAGACACCCATTTTGCTCCGTAGGTTATTTCAATCTTCAAAAGTAACGCCAGAGCTGTCAGCGGTGCTCCGCTATCGTGTTCCGGGTCGGCAGTGACAGCAATTGCAATTTTCACTGCCCCTAAACGTCATAGCGAGAAACATTCGCATTCAATATTCGTCCCACGTGGGAGCTAAAATAAAGCTTCATAATGAGGCTTTTGTGAAAGATGCATAACTTAACCGCCTCATTGTATTTCAAATAACTTTCTTATTGCACCGTGGTTCGTGAAACTGAAAGTCACGCAAATGAATGGAGCTTTGTAAATATTCCTTGCAGAACTAGTGGTGCTACAACAACACATACATTTTCGCATTATTTCGAACTGTTCCGCTGCACTATATACTACGAGTACTAGATGAACATACAACAATTTTTTTTGACCGCAAATATTATTTTCCGCACCGAGACTCCAACTCAAGACTCCGAGTTAATTCGCCGTCAGCCATACCACTACACTAGGAAAACACCGTGAAGTTCGAAGTCAGGCCGACGTTAAAAAAGAATTTGTCTCAACCGCGTATTTCCAACATGCAATTTTTACAATTTTAAAAAATACAGAAAGTATTCCTAAAATGGGACTGGCACTGTGTGTTCAAAACATTGTGCATGACCTTTTTTAAAGAGCGGATGTTTTAGAACCAACTGTAAATTTCTATATTAAATTGTGTAGTTTTGAAATGTTAACATTTTGCAATTTACGAAATTACAGATAAATCGTCGAAAATAAGAATACCACCTTACTTGCTACCGACCGTTGATACACACGAGGAGAAAATGTAAAGAAAAAATTAGGAACAGTTTTTAAGAAATAAATATTTAAAAAATGATTTGCCTATATTTCGCACAAAATTACACAAACATGACTCGTATTTTCGAAAAATTGAACATGACATTAATTTCAAGATATTTCTTCAATGAACAGATTTCATTAAGAAAAATCTGTCATCAGTAATAATATTGCAGGAAGACGCCAAACAATTGCACATTTGAAATATTTGAATAATCTGAGATTTTAACGAACATTATACCTACACAACATTTTTGAGAAAATTTTGAAAATGTTTTTGAGGTTTCATGAAAAATACCCTCAAAAATCCAACTATTACGGTTAAAACTCCGAAAACCTTGAGCTTATTCAGATCGACCAAAGAATATTAATTAAGGAGAACATTTTCTGAACGGTGTAGGCACGGGACGACGAACGGACGGACAGAGAGACAGACTCTTTGCCGTCAATCGATTTTTCGATATGACGACCCACAAAACATGGATTCTGGCATCACCATGTGTTAGAGGAAGTAATTTGTTATAAATTTATCCACTTTTTAGTTGCCAGGGTCCGATAATAAAAGTTTTTCTGCCCAAACAACGTCGGTTTTCGGCGCCCGATTTCATTACTTTATCTTCTAACGAAGTAAGTGCAAGAAAGTAATAAATGACATAAAAATTATTAATATCGATTCATTCATAAATTGCAAATTTATCATTATATCAATACTGAAATATTTAATTTATTTTTTGAAATCTATTACTAATCAGAAAACCTTGCATAGTTAATTTGTCAGTGTTACCTTGCCTTTTTGCAGTGGCACTTATGTGGTGTGTGTGTGTGTGTGTGTGTGTAAATGTGAGGGACCTACTTACAATTGTGGTGTGGTAAGGTCAGGCATTTGACTATCGAAACGCGTACGTTGTAAGTCTATGCAACATAAGATTTTGAAATACAAAATTATAATACAATACAATGCAATATTTATTATCTCTTAAGCACTCTCTAAGAGTATAAGTACTATTCGCACGGCTTGAATTTAGGAAATGAACAATGAATTAGCCCGCACATGGTGAGCGTTCTCGGTTTTTAGGCCCAAATATCTGGGTTTGAATGACATTGGAGGCAAGAGAAGCAGCACCTTCCTTAAAAATTACAGAAAAAATGTCTAAAGCGCTCCAGGGAAGCTCCTGAAGAGGTGCCGCTGATTTGTGCCATTCGTGCTTTGAAAGGCATTACGTACAGGGTCAGTTGATGCTTCATTACTCTCTTGGTGTGAAGGGAAATCAATAGTAGAGCAGCTAAGAACCGCGAAAGTCTCCTAGTAAGCCTCAGTCTCCTTCAGGTTGAGAAGAACGGACATAATATTTAAGAATTTAAGTCTTAAAATAAAAAAAAGCATTTTAAATAACAGCATTTCAATCTTTGCCGCCATTACTTTCTTGCACCTACTTCCTGGAAAGAGACAATGCCAATGTAACTCCGCGGGGCAAAACAGATGACATTATTTTTTCGCCTTTCTACGTACGAACGTAGTAAAGAGAAAGTATTATAATGCGAAAGGGAGAAAGGCAATATTAATAATATATTTTTTAATGAAATACATTCTAAACAATTAGATATTGAAAAGGTTACGTATTATTTAAAGTACTTTTCGCTTAATTTTCACTTGAAGGAAAGGCAATTTACAAAAAACTAGTGGTGCAAAAACAGCACGTACTTTCTTCACGTTTTTTCACGTAAAATTACGCAAAAAGTATTCATATTTTTGAAAATTGTGACCTTATTACAAAATCCATCTTTAAGGAACAGATTCTTTAAGGGGAAAAATCTCTATCTTTAACCCTTAGTTACTCGCGTGCTAGAACTGTCATCGCCGTAGGTATTAGATAACATCTGCATGCATTCTGGAATTTGACCTAATAGAAGGCCCTCTTAGCCGCGTTCTCCTTGAAATTCAGTTGCGTAAGATTTACCGCTGAGTCTAGACAATTGTATTTCCGCTGGAAATTGTTCGTTGCCGTACTATCTACGACGCACGGGTACCAATGTGAATTTTCATTTTCTTTTAATTTTCTCCGAATTTTTTTAATTTATTGATGTAATTGAAAAAAACTTATTCACAATAGGAACAACATAGAGATAAACAACTTATCAAAAAAGCAGTTATGTGAATTATTACTTGAGGAATAAACATGACGTCTCCGTGTAATATAAAGTGCTACTGAAATGAATTTAATTGAATTAATGCCTTAATTTACGTGACGAGACTCGGGCTATCAGGCCCGCTCTTCCGTCTGACGAAGCAAATTTCGCTAAGCTCCTTTCAATAACTAGCAGAGGAAGGAGGTATTTCTTGGGCGATAAACAGGCGATTTTTGAATTTAACTCAGAGGCCTCAGTCATTTAGGCTTGAGGATCTTTTACATGCTAGTAAATCTACTAGCTTGGGACAGCCAGCTTTACTTCCCCTCCGAAGGAAGGCGTACGAAGGATTTTTTCGCTCATCCACGGCTTCGATCTTGTTTGAACCCGCCAACTTATACCAGTTCAATACGCTAATCGTTACACCATCGCCGCCGCGGTGAATGAAATAACCATGATAAAAATTTTTTGTAAACTAGCTGTATAGATCAAAAATTAATTACATGGTTCACATCTGCTAAAGGCTACAAGCCAAGCAAGAATTTTTTTAAAAAATCTTTTATATTGAATAGGAAGTTTTGTAGGATACTTTGCATGAATTTTAACAATCTAAAACAATTTTTCTAGATTGAAAATATTAGAAGCATCTTGATTTTTAATAAGATCGCTTGAACATATATCAATTGGTTGACAAGTTTTGTTAAATACACGATTCTCTTAAAACTTGAGACTTTGGAATTCATTGTAATTTGCGTCATTTGAATAGATAATGGGAATATCTTTCAAAACAACGGATTGAATTTTAATAGAAAGATCTCTATTAGAATAAAATTGAATATTATTTGCTTTACAATACATTTTCTAATTTCTGAAATTTTCTAATGGTTGAAATAATATTTTAATTGAGAGTTTTATTAGCTTCGTGCAAAACTCTTTTAGCGTTATTTGTTTAATATCGCTATAAAATTTGAAAAGTTTATAACTTTCGATACAATAATTGGAGGAATTGTAGTAATTGAAGGATCTTCTTCTGAATCTTGAACTTCATTTAATTTTAAGTATCTATTCTATATTTTATATTATTAAATTATTCTATATTTTTTGAGTATCTATATTTTACATATCTTAAGATTGTTATGATGTAGTCTTGTACTTGTATGTGGACAAAATGAGACATCTTCTGTTTCCTTGAGACATTTTTATGATATGAAACGATTATGATGAAAGATGAATTTGTAGTTGTTGAAGAATTTGTAGTTGATGGTTCAGCAGGTGGATCAGTAAATGTAGACTGCAGGCATGCAGCGTGCTGTTTGGTTTGCTGTACATTACTAGAGATTTTTTTTGAAAAGGCAGGTAAGGTACGGAAGCTCCTCGATGCATCTGTGGCACACGTTCATTTCAAAATACACTTAATGCTTGAAATTCACTTGAATTTGGAAAACCATATGAAATATCCACATATTATCTATATATTTATTGTCGTTGAAACCAGCAATATAGCATGTGATGGAATAGAAATATCACTCGTTGAAACATAGGTCCAGTTATCTCATGGTGGAAGAGAGTAATTGCTTAAGTTCATGAGGAACGATTGAGGAACCTAATATTATTATAATTTCATTCATATGAATGTTTATAGCACTTATTGCAGTAAGTATGAATGTTAATGTATTGCACACAATTAGAATGTTAAATCAGTCTTACGAAAGCACTTAAGCAAGATCATTCGTAAGAAAGACCACCTTCAAATCCTGCTCGACTGCATCTCCTTTGTAAAGACTTATCATAGTTTATGGTGACCAATACATTTTATTTATTTATTTATTTATTTATTTATTTATTTATTTATTTATTTATTTATTTATTTATTTATTGTAGATTGCCGGGCAACTTCATGGTCATAAGTGATAAAAAAAATTTTTTCAATTTTACATTATAATTAAATTTACATTTCTCGTTACATTTCATGTCATCGTCTTTTAACGTTCAATGATAAATACTTTTTTTGTGTTTTTATTTAACTAAATATGCTCATTAATTTCATGGAAAATCGTTGATAGTCACTATGTTTATGGTATGCATGCAATTAAAAGTTCACGACAGACATTCAGAACTCAAAGAACTGATCGAAATCTTTTAATTATGTATCTACAACACAGATTTAATCAAGGAATTTTCAGAAGGCTATGAAACAT